CCCGCCCCCACACCTGAGGGGAGGAAAGAGGGGTGCGGGGTAAACCTTTGCCCGCCGCCCTGAAGCCATCGGGTCAGCAAGTAAAGGAGCTGACGAGCGTGCTCGCGCCCAGCTGGGACACCGTCTCCCCCCGTAAAACCCTCCTCCATCCCACAACTTCCCCTGCTCTTTGTGCGCTGTCTCATCTATGACTAATTTAGATCAAAATCTCCCTGCTGCCAGCAACTCCTCTGCAGCCCATGCGTGCCTGCGAGCTGGGGGAGCACGTGCGCGTGCACCCTGGTGCCAAGCAGGGCTACGTACACGTCGCTATCGCTATTAATTGTAATTCATCCTCATCAATGAGTCACGGTCCCCAGGGCAGCACCCCCTGGCTGGGACCGGCAGCGTTTGCATCCCCCAGCCTACCCTTACCAACGCACACCCAGCCCAACACCACCACTTTTCCCCCGGAGGGAAACACCGAAAAACTCTCCTGGCTCAGGCAGACGTGCTCCCAGCACCAAGGGGAGGCAGGCCAACCCCGAGCTGGCGTGGGTGCCCCCGAAGCTCGAGGTGTAGCGGGGGGGACAGCTTTCTGCATTGCCAGGAACATGGACGCCCTGCGGGTGTTGGTGTCCCCACCCCTGTGGTCCCCTGGGACCTCCCGGAGGAGAAACAGGAGGTCACCCCAAGGGACCAGTCCCCAGCCACCCCTTCCACCAGGCAGGATGGGGAGCTGGCACCTACCGTGCTGAGCCAGCCTGGCCGGCGGCGTGTGGCAGCGTGGGGCCGGCGCGGCATGGGGCTGGCACCGCCTGGGACGGCGTGGGGCTGGCGTGGCGTGGGGCTGGCAGCGCGTGGGGCCGGCACCGAGGCCCACGCAGGAGGAAGGCAGCGGGGGAGCAGCCCAGGCACACAGCTCGTTTTTGAAGGGGCCGCTCCTCCTTCGAGAGGAAGCTGCGAATGGGGAAGATAAGGCTGAGGTTAGATAACAGGAAATGTCTGGATGTGAGTGACAACACGTCCAGGTTGTGAAAGCCGCTCTCCCCATCCTGCAGCCGGGGTGCAGAGCCC